CACAGCTCTGCTTTTCCCTCCCTCGTAATCTCAGTCTCCCTGTGCGTCCTACAGTTTACTAACTCTATGTCTAAGAACTGTATCTAAATAATAGCTTTAAAAATCAACCATTCCTCACCCATGCACTTGTAATGCGTAACTTTTCTGTATCTCAAGATGTGGACTTTAACAGCAAAGCAGAGCTTTGTAGAGGACATCCTCACTGTTTCATGTACTAGAGTAAAAACTGGGTTGTTTATGCACTGTGTGGATGCAGTACCAGTAGAGGTCAGAAGAGGGCATCAGATCCCATGGAATTGGAATTACAGATAGTGTTTTTAATGTGTATGGGTATTTTGCCTATGTGTGTTACTGTGTGTCACATGCATACCTGTTGCCTGAGGAGACCAGAAGAGAATGCTGGGATCCCTAAAACTAGAGTTACAGACAGTTGTGAGCTAGGGTCCTCTGGAAGGACAGCCAGTTCTCTTAACCACTGGACCATCTCTCCAGCCCCTCTATCACCAATTTTATATGATCATCTGACCATTCCTCCTAGTTCACTGAAGAGCAGTAGGTACCTTGGCCTTTCTTAGGTCTGTCCCTCAGGCCTATGCTCTCTACTTCAAAGGCTGAATAGGCACTGGTCTTGTCTCAACAGATACCCTGAGCCATTTTTTTACTGTTTGAATTTCAAGCCACATGTGGGAAGAAATAGACTCTGCTTGGACAGCACTGTCTGAGAAAATAAGTCTCCTGGTCCCTCTGAGAATAACTAATTTTCCCCTCAAAACAAAAGGAAAAGGGAAAAATCTGACCTGTGTTTTGATTCCAGGAACCTCTCAAAATATCATTACCATGTTATTTCCGCTGCCCCAGGTGACCACTGCTATTATTGAATCCTTGGAATGCTGGCAGGCTGTCCTGTTTTTACCTTCTAGCTCACTGAACTATGTGTGGTTCCTAGGTTTTTCTTTAGTGTATTTGGGGGTAGAAGCGGGGTTCTTTTGTTTTTCTTGGAAATGTGCAGATTGACTTTTATTTTGGTTTGGGCTCACCAAGGTAGAAGCTGTTAAATTTGCTAAACAAGCACTAGGAAGCCCAGCCTGGGCTGCAAGATGCTCAGTGACATCTAGCAAACCCCTGGCTAATTTTAGGGAATGAACTTAGCAAGCTACCTGAACTGCTTTTCTCAAAGTGTCCAGATCATAGTAGTTCAATTTAAAAAAAAAACGCAAGACTCCATTTGATATTCTTGCCTTTAGTAAGATAAACTGATACTTAAGAAAAAAATATACAGGCTGAAGATTTATCTTAGTACTATGCTTGTCTAGCCAGTCCAAAGCTCTGGGTTTGATCCTCAGAACAGCATAAACATGACATAATGGTACATGCCTGTAAATGTCAGCACTTGAGAGGTGGAGGCAGGAGAATCAGAAATTCAAGGTCATACAAGCACAGAAGACCCTTTCTCAGAGGTGGAAAGAAAGTGTAGGGGGTTGGGTGGGTATGAGGAGGTCATCTTTTCTATAAAGCAGTATTAACCAAGGACTTCTAAATTTCTTTTTACTGGGTCTGGAGAGATGGCTCAGAGGTTAAGATAACTGGCTGCTCTTCCAGAGGTCCCCAGGTTCGATTCCCAGCACCCATATAGCAACTTAAAACTATCTATAACTCCAGTTCTGGGTACCCAATACCCTCTTCTGACTTCTGCAGGCACCAGGCAGGTGAGTGGTGCACAGACATACATACAAACAAGGAAAAGGACAAAACAAAGAACAAAGAAAAACTAAATACGTAAAAATTACTTTAAGATTTTTTTTCTGTTTGCTTTTTTTTTTTTAATGAGACAGGTTTCAAACAGAGATTCTCTTGCTCTGCCTCCTGGGTGCTGGGATTTAAGATGTCTACCACCACACCCAGCTCTTTTTACCGTTTTTGTTAAAACATTCATTATTACTATTTTATTAAAACATTTGTGATTACCATTGTATAGGCATTGATTAAGAATTTCAGGATTAAGATTCCAGCAAAGAATCCTTTTCCTAGAGAAATCCCCACCTCATGGGGTAGGTTTTTTTTTTTTTAAGATTTATTTATTTTATGTATGTGAGTACACTGTCACTCTCTTCGTACATACCAGAAGAGGGCATCAGATCCCATTACAGATGGTTGTGAGCCACCATGTGGTTGCTGGGAATTGAACTCAGGACCTCTGGAAGAGCAGTCAGTGCTCTTAACCACTTAGCCATTTCTTCAGCGAGGTCTTCTGTCTCCATTCATGAATTTTGCCTGTTTTAAATTCCGTATAAGCAGAGCCATTGAGTCTGGCTTACTTCCTCCGTAAAACACGGTAAACAAGTTGAGAAGTGCGTGCATTCGGGGTCTCACCTGGCTGATTAACTGTGGAGGCAGCAGTGTGTGTCACTGACAGTGACTACTACTGCAGCAACTCCTGTACCTGTTCATTAGTGATTGACATGTTAAAATGAGAGGGAGAGGAAAAGAGAGAGGGAGAGCGAGAGGGAGAGCGAGCACACGTGCTGATGTGGGGGTCATAGGATACCCTGCAAAGTTATTTCTCTCCTTCCATCATGTGGGTCCGGGACCCTGATGTAAGATAGCCAAGATAGCAGCAAGCGCCTTTACCGGCCGAGCCGTCTGACTGGCTCGTTTATAACAGGTTGACATGACGTCTGCGTTCACACGCACAGTGTATTTTGATCATATTCACCGCCACACAGGACGCCTCTTTTTTCTTGCCTCCTGTCCTTGTTGATCCCTCATATTTACCTTTCAACAGGAAGCATAAAATAACCAGAAGAGGATAAACTAATACACAGGGCAAGAGGTCCTGTGAGCCATTCATTTGTGGATCTGCTCCTAATCCCCCTCTGCACCGAAGGCTTGCCTGCTGGAAGGCCTCACATTAGCTTATTAGGTTTCTCAGTAAATTTCAATTAGTTTGCTCCAGTGGCTTATTAGGCCTTTAATGGATGCTAATTATACTCTTGGTGCATTCTGAGTTAAGAATTGGGAAATGATTTTACATGTGTAAGCAAACCTTGAACCAATGTTTGTTTCTTAGAAGATACTTAGAGCAGTAAGTCAGAAATCAAAACAAGGCAGAGGACAGAATGATGTATACCACTGGGCTTGTCGCCCAGAATAGGCTGGAGTCCCATGCCTGTAAGGCCAAACAGAAGTCTATTTTGGACCAGTATTGACTCTAGCAGAAATCTTAAATTAGAGACTAGACATGATTTTAAAAATTGACATCATTTATTTGTGTGTGTGTGTGTATGTGTGTGTGTGTGTGTGTGTGTGTGTGTGTGTGTGTGTTCGTTCGTGTCCATGTTCGTGTATGCCACTGTGTAGGTCAGAGAACAATGTGTACTTCTCTCCACCATGTAGTTCTGGAGAGAGAACTCAGGTCATCAGACGCTGTGGGGTGTACCGTTACCTGCGGAGCCATCTCACTAGATCTGCACAATACAGTTTTTATATCCACATACTCAGCACCAGGTAGATGGCCGGCTCAAGACAAGTAAAATGTCCCAGAAGACAGAATGCTGAAGATGGCGCATTTTCCAGACTAAGATGGTGGCATGGTCTCTGCCCTTTTAGAGCTACCGCATGCCACTGTCATTGGGTGTTTGGGGTACCACTTATGTTTCCTCCTTCATGAACTTGCTTGGGGTTGTAGTAGAATGTTTACTTCAGCTCTTGCCTCTTGAAGACATAGGTGAGTCCTGATAGCACAGAATTTTTTGGAAACAGACCCTTCTGAGTCCCAGACCTGTTTTCCAGAGATTCCACCGTCTTTCCCACTCATGTGTAGGAAAACTGAAAGCTCAGAGATGAAGCCGGTCCATCTGTGACAGTAGAACAAAAGTGAGGGAGTGTGATTCTCTGCCAGGGTGATTTTCTTTTTCCCATGAGAGTTCCTCAATTTATTTATTTTATGGCTGTCAAATTTAACAAAACAAACAAATAAAAACATAAAACAAAACCCACCACTAAAGGAAAAGTGTATCTATGAAAGCCATTCTCACTGAAAGTGTCAGCAGGAGGCACAGGGCGTGCTACAGTTCATAGACTGTCACTGAGTGAACTGTGTAGTTACAGAATTCGGTTTTCTTTCGAGCAGAACTGAACACTGAGGTGGATGGACGGTTACTGGAGAGCTAACAGGAAGCAAGTGTCACACAGTTGGGAGAGAGCTTGAGGAAGTATTAACTGCTTCCCCACTTCCCCTGCTCGTGTTGGGTACAGTTCTCTTGAGATCATCTTTGACTAGTAAATATTTTGTCATGGTTCTCTTAAGTCCAGAAGGATTTAGTTTGATCATTATTTAATCTGCAGCATTTGAAATCCTCTGATGCTAAATCTCTGCCTATCTCACTTTATAATCAACATCTCCTAGACACAGCAACAAGAACTTAAGAGTAACCACTGGGGCTGGAGACATGGCTCACTGATTCAGAGCACTGGCTGCTCTTCCAAAGGTCCTGAGTTCAATTCCCAGCAACCATACTGTGGCTCACAACCATCTGTAATGGGATCTGATGCCCTCTTCTAGTGTGTGACTGAATACAGCTGCAGTGTGCTCATATAAGTAAAAATAAATAAATAAATCTTTAAAAAAAAAGTAACCACTGAAATTTGGACAATATGTAGTAGAAATAGTCCCAAATGTATTTTCTGCTTCCATCTTCCATAAATAAGAATTAACTCCTGGCAAAGGGTGTTAGATCATATTAGATAAATCAATTTTTTAGTAACCATTTCATGGAAATTCATAAATTAAAAGTTAGAACTTTTCTCGGTTTAATCAGACCAAATTCTCTAAATCAAGGAGAACCTCAGACCTCACTGGCATAGAGCAGGACTCCCAAGAGATCCCAAGGAACCAGTCCAAGGGTGCAGGCAAATGGGTGCCAAGGATTTCCGGGTGCCTCCTGCTCTTTAAAACTCTTCCGGTCTGACAAAATGTGAGTCTGGAGGTGCTGCCCTGTGGTTCAGATGTCTCCCCGCCTCCTACACCCCCTGCCCCAGCAACCTCAGCTACATGTAAGAGAGACAGTAATGAACACAGCGATTCTGATCACCAGTGAGACTCTCGGGTAGCAAGATACTCTTATCCTCAGGGTTCACAGTTAAGATATGCCCTGGACATTCCTGTCTAAGAGGAAGCATTGTAAACTTTGCTGTGGTGCAAATATTAATGAAGTAAACACACAAAACCATCAAAAGTGTGCAGATTGCTCTAAGAACACAGAGAAAGGTAAGTTAGCAAGCCAAAATACTGGCATTTAGTCAGAGTTGATCAATCAGAGTTGATGGATCTTCTACCTTCATACCTTTTAGTGTATTTTACATATTTTATTGTTTAAAATCTGTGTTTCACCAGCCTTCTCTGTTCTGCTCTTTCACATCTGAATATTGGCCTTTTCCTCAGTTATTTATGGCCTTATATGTCTAACCAGAATAACAGATCGTAGTTTGTCAGGGCCATTAAAATTATACTTTGTCATGTCAGATACTACAGAGGGGTTTTATTTCTAGATGTACAACTTATTTTCTCATTATAACCTTCTACACAGTTTATCTATTTTCTTTTATCCTTTTGGAACACACCTAAGGGACTTGTGAAATGCTTTTTCACTCGATGGCCAGCTCTTCCTAAAAAATCTGCAAACTGACAGGTGTAGATATAAGTTCAGGGATGGGATTCTGATGCTGAAGATAAGTTCACCTTTACTCTGAATTAGAGAGACTTTCCCAACAACCCAGGCACAACCTGAAGAGCAGACCCAGGAATTTTCAGCAACAATGTGACCATCAAGTTTTTATTTTAATTTAAGTAGTTTCAAAACTAAGATTTTTCAGGGTTTGCATTAGTGTGGCCTCACTAGGTCTGGGTTTGTGTGTATGTACACATGTGTGTATGCACGTATGTGGATGCATGTGGAGGCCAGAGATTGGTATCCGGTGTCTTTCTCTCTCTCCGTCCATTTGACTCAGAGTCACTCCGTGTCTGGAGCTTGTCAAGAGGATTAGATTAGGTGGCCAGTGAGCCTTAGAGGTCCGCCTGGCTTTCATGTGCATTTGGGGCACCTCAGCTCAAGTCTTCGTGCTTATATGACAGGCACTTTACCAGCTGAGTGGCTCCTCGGGCCCCTGGACTAAAGGAAAGGCTGTCCTTCTTCAGATGTCTTTAACAAGACTTAATTATTGTATAACAATTGCTACTTAGGTAATATTTCTTGTTTGGTTCAGAGATACCATCTCGCTCTTTTGCCTAGAGTGGCCTTGAACTGCTAAGGTGAGCAGTTTGCCACCTCAGCCTTCAGAAGAGCTGGCATAGCATGTGTGCACCACTGCCCATGACCTCAGGTAGTGCTTTTTTTTTTTTAAACTAACACTGCTATCATTGATTGTGGTTATGTGCATTAAAACAGTCTATCTCCAGACTTCCAAAGTAGCTTTGTTTGTTAACAACAGAATCTTCAACTGTGATAGACTAAAAGTTACACTTTATTACAGATCCTGTGAAGCCGCTGGCCAGCTCCTCACAAGCACCTGGTGATTCACCTTTTGCTATAAATACAGCACCAGCCTCCACCCAGATGGAAGCCTCTTCAGTCACCCTACCTCCTTCTTACCAGCTCATCAGCCTCCCGCCACACCCAGACCTCGGCCTCCAGGATGACCCACAAGACTACCTCTTGCTGATCAACTGTCAGAGCAAGAAGCCTGAACCCACCAGGTACAAGTTACACGCTATCGTGTGTGTGTGTGTGTGTGTGTGTGTGTGTGTGTGTGTGCATGTGTGTGTGTGTGCACACGCATGCACACATTTAAAGGCCTTTAGTTTCTTTAGGCCTTGGAGCTTACATGGTACCATCTTTATAGGTGTATGTTTCAGATTTGTGTTACCATCTTTATAGACGTATATTTCAGATTTGTGTTGCAGGTTTAGAATCCTCTGCTAATGATTTCTGTTATGTGAGAGGTCTTCTGTTGTTGACACTTTGTCCCATCGTGGCAGGTCACAGTTGTGCCTACAAGGCTGTCTTGGAAAGAGTCTTGCAGTCTTTGTTAGGGACTCACAAGTGTTAGTTGCTTGACAGATGTCACTGATTTGTAAATGGTGATCTTGCTCCATTTCTTATGTGATTGTAAACCAGCCAAGGGTCATCTTTTGTTTCTGGAGAAAGAGAGGACTACCTACTACTAGAAGATTTTGAAAGCAAAGCGATTCCATTGCCGTGAGTGTGCTTTAGGTTTGGATCTATGTGAGAAACTAATCATACAGGTAAAATCCCGTTATCCTAGAGGCTAGGTGAACTGGGAGGTAGTGACATGTCATGAAATCAAATACACTGCTACAAGCTGTGAGCCCTTCAATCCTTCCTCTCCAGCCATGGAGCAGTGATGAATCCAAGCTGTGACTTACAACTTTTAAAATAGAGATACATGGAATGTATGCCTGACCCAGAGGGTCCGAAAAGCCTTTTCCAGATGCTTGGTAGAGGGTCATTATCCTCACCTGCATGCACGCACACACACCTTTCCTATGCTAAGCCTGAAGATATTTTTTGTTTGTTTGTTTTTTGTTTTTTTCGAGACAGGGTTTCTCTTGTATAGCTCTGGCTGTCTTGGAACTCACTCTGTAGACCAGGCTGGCCTCGAACTCAGAAATCCACCTGCCTCTGCCTCCCAAGTGCTGGGATTAAAGGCATGCGCCACCACCACCCTGAGCCTGAAGATATTTTAACTATGTCATCTTTGGCATTTGATATTGAAAAGTTAAAAGGCATTAAGTGACAGAGGCGATCAAAGGACAGTTGCTTTATTATTTGAAGAAGCAACAGGAAAATGAAGGTCAGTGAGCAGGCTAGTGTCCGCTGCTTACAACCCACGACCCCATTGGTAACAGCATCATCAACTAGAATATTTTTCACAGTGTGAAACGGCAACAACCTGCGTGCTACACACAAGGGAGGTTTATAAAATATGGTGTTAAGGAATTAAGCTTTATTGTTTTTATAACAAAAATGTTTCTTTTCTTTTGTTTAAAATGATTATTAGTTAGAATAAGAGTACAGAGTAGTTGTTTAAAAAAATTATGTAAAACTTAAAAACCCCCAGAAATGGTTTCTATGAGCCATTCCAAGGGGTAGTGGAAGGAGCTCGGGAACATTCCATGGATGGTTTTGTCTGTCTGTTATAGTGGTATTTTACCTGTAAGAGCAAGAAAGCTGTGTAAGTCAATACTAGTATCAGATTCTACATGAACTGTGCTTGTCTGCTCTGAGCATGCATCATACTGGTGAGCTTGTGCCCTGGCTAACTGATGCGCCCCCTTATGGAGACTCACTGTTACTTACTGTTGTGGTTTTTTTGTTTTGTTTTTTTAAGAATCCGACTGATCAGTGACAGTGTTTAGTGTATTTTCTTTTTATGACCATGCCTTTCATTGATTTCACTGGAATAACACCATTACTACCACAGGAAACATTGTTCTCCAAGTTACTGCATAGATACTCGGGCAAAGTGACAGTTAAATAAGTATTTATGAAGTCCCCACCACGTGCCCACTAGTATGCTAGGTACTGTGAAGATACAAACGGATTACACAGGACACAGTTCCCTGAGATTCAGTCACCCTGGAAGCTCTCAAAGTAAACCTTTTCAAGAAGCCAGATAAAATAAGCATAAAGTATGTGTGCATTCAGCATAGGGGGAGGTCGTGTGCAGTCAGCATAGGGGGAGGTTGTGTGCA